TATTATTATTTATATTTTTTTTTGTGATCCATTAAGCCTGTCTTTATTTTTTATATTCGAAAATTTAAAATTGTTATTTATTTATTATTCATCTATAAGATGGATTTTGGGATGTATTTTCTTGATCTTTCGTCGTTAGGCCTTCTTTTAATATTATTATTTATATTTTTTTTGTGATCCATTAAGCCTGTCTTTATTTTTTATATTCGAAAATTTAAAATTGTTATTTATTTATTATTCATCTATAAGATGGGTTTTTTTGGGAATTGTTTCTTTATCCTTCGTCGTTAGGCCTTCTTTTAATATTATTATTTATATTTTTTTTGTAATCCCTTAAGCCTGTCTTTATTTTTTATATTCGAAAATTTAAAATTGTTATTTATTTATTATTCATCTATAAGATGGGTTTTTTGGGAATTGTTTCTTTATCCTTGGTCGTTAGGCCTTCTTTTAATATTATTATTTATATTTTTTTTTTGTAATTCCTTAAGCCTGGGTTTATTTTTTATATTCGAAAATTTAAAATTGTTATTTATTTATTATTCATCTATAAGATGGGTTTTTTGGGAATTTTTTTTTTATCCTTCGTCGTTAGGCCTTCTTTTAATATTATTATTTATATTTTTTTTGTAATCCCTTAAGCCTGTCTTTATTTTTTATATTCGAAAATTTAAAATTGTTATTTATTTATTATTCATCTATAAGATGGGTTTTTGGGAATTTTTTCTTTATCCTTGGTCGTTAGGCCTTCTTTTAATATTATTATTTATATTTTTTTTGTAATCCCTTAAGCCTGTCTTTATTTCTTATATTCGAAAATTTAAAATTGTTATTTATTTATTATTCATCTATAAGATGGGTTTTTTGGGAATTTTTTCTTTATCCTTGGTCGTTAGGCCTTCTTTTAATATTATTATTTATATTTTTTTTTGTAATCCCTTAAGCCTGTCTTTATTTCTTATATTCGAAAATTTAAAATTGTTATTTATTTATTATTCATCTATAAGATGGGTTTTTTTGGGAATTGTTTCTTTATCCTTCGTCGTTAGGCCTTCTTTTAATATTATTATTTATATTTTTTTTTGTAATCCCTTAAGCCTGTCTTTATTTTTTATATTCGAAAATTTAAAATTGTTATTTATTTATTATTCATCTATAAGATGGGTTTTTTGGGAATTTTTTCTTTATCCTTGGTCGTTAGGCCTTCTTTTAATATTATTATTTATATTTTTTTTTTGTAATCCCTTAAGCCTGTCTTTATTTTTTATATTCGAAAATTTAAAATTGTTATTTATTTATTATTCATCTATAAGATGGGTTTTTGGATGATTTTTTTTTATCTTCCGTCGTTAGGCCTTCTTTTAATATAATTATTTATATTTTTGTTTTTAATCCCTTAAGCCTGTCTTTATTTTTTATATTCGAAAATTTAAAATTGTTATTTATTTAATATTCATCTATAAGATGGGTTTTTTGGGAATTTTTTCTTTATCCTTGGTCGTTGGGCCTTCTTTTAATATTATTATTTATATTTTTTTTTGTAATCCCTTAAGCCTGTCTTTATTTCTTATATTCGAAAATTTAAAATTGTTATTTATTTATTATTCATCTATAAGATGGGTTTTTTGGGAATTTTTTCTTTATCCTTGGCCGTTAGGCCTTCTTTTAATATTATTATTTATATTTTTTTTTGTAATCCCTTCAGCCTGTCTTTATTTTTTATATTCGAAAATTTAAAATTGTTATTTATTTATTATTCATCTATAAGATGGGTTTTGGAAAGTTTTCCTTTATCTTTCGTCGTTAGGCCTTCTTTTAATATTATTATTTATATTTTTTTTTTGTATTCCTGTATGGAGGACAAGTCGCTGTTTTCGGGTATCCTTTCTGGCCAATAGTTGTAAGCTGCTTGGAGCCAAATACCAAAAGCAACAGTAACAGTAGAACTCTTGCCAAAAGCAACAGCTAAAGGAAAAAGCAAAGCAACAAGCCGGTGGTGGCCAGAAACCACAAAACTCAAGCCAGCCAGCAACGAGGCAGCGAAGCCAATAAATCAAAATGTCATGATGGCCTTTGAAGTGTTGTTGTTGTTGTTATTGTTGCTGATCCAGATCTGGAATGAAAATACCGCTTTTCACGAAGGTTAAAGCCAAGCCACAACAACAAACAAATAACAAGCAAACAGGCAACAGACAACAAACAGCCGACAGACATCGCTTAATTTCGTCAGAGAGCACCTCCTCGTCATCTCATCTCGTCTCGGGTCGTCTCCTTGGGAAATGACAAATTAAATGACAAGAACTGTCAGCTCAGGATGCCGACATTTAGTTAGCCGTAAGCTTGACACGCCCACTTGCCAACGCCCAGCCGCCCAGCCACCCATTGGCCTATTGATGGGCCATCAGAGAAACAAACCGCGGACCACACGGCGTATGGGTAATATGAGAAAGGAATCGAGTACTGCATTTGTTTTTTGTTTTGTTTTATTTTTAAAATTAAATAAATATATTTAAATAAATAAATATCTTTTAAAATTTATTATAATATAAGGTTGTCCCAAACAGTGGCCAAGCCGGGATTGACGGCCAGGAAGGTTTTGCTGTGTGTTTGGTGGGATTGGAAGGGAATCATCCACTATGAGCTGCTCCCATATGGCCAGACGCTTAATTCTACCATCTACTGCGAACAATTGGACCGCTTGAAGCAGGCGATCGACCAGAAGCGTCCAGAATTGGCCAACAGGAAGGGTGTAGTGTTCCACCAGGACAACGCCAGACCACACACTTCGTTGATGACTCGTCAGAAGCTACGGGAGCTCGGATGGGAGGTTTTATCGCATCCACCATATAGCCCGGACATAGCGCCAAGTGATTACCACCTGTTCCTGTCCATGACGAACGCCCTTGGTGGTGTAAAGTTGAACTCAAAAGAGGCTTGTGAAAAGTGGCTGTCCGAGTTCTTCGCAAATAAGGAGGGGGGCTTCTACGAGGGAGGTATTATGAAGTTGCCGTCTAGATGGAAACGGATTATCGAACAAAACGGCGCATATTTCAACTAAATCGGATCACTGTAACACTTTTTATAAAGCATTGAATAAAGAGCAAAAAAGCGGAAGGGAGATATTTGACAACCTTATAGTATTTTTTATTTCGTTTCTTTGATTAACCATTCCCTATTAGAGAAACCTTTCCCCAAAATCAGAGCTCAGTGCAACAGATGCTGTCGACACACTGCCCTTTGACATGTCCTTTGTGCCTTTTGTGAGGCTGTGATTGTGTTGGTATTTGTGTTACTAATGCAAAAGCTGGCCAACTGCTGATGCAGGTTCAGGACCTGGCATTCCATTACCATTTTCCATTCGTAGATTCCCCCATTCAGATTCTGATTCGGAGTACACCCCATTCCATGTGAAAATCCCGGATTCCGTATCCGGAACATTCAGTTAACGAGCTCGTTACGGCTCATTGGCTTTTGGTTCGTGCCTTAGTATGCATTTTGGCCAATTTAAATTGAATTCGGGCTTCAAATGCTTTGGCCTTCCTTCTTCAGTTGGCCAAAACAGAAAAAAAAAAAACCAACAACAGTACCGAGTACTGATTCAGTTAAAACAGAATGCAAATTAAGCTGGACTCGAACCACTCGAAATCTGACATAATAACATATAATTGTTCCAGCAAATGCATTTCGAATTAAAATCGTTTTGTGGCTGAAAGCGGCTAATTGCGATAATTGGTAAGTAAGCAGAAATGAGAGGCTAAAATAAATACATGGCCAAAACAAATAAGCGATAGTTGGCTTAAAACGCAGATTGTCAATTTTTTTTTTAAACATAATAATCAGTGATTTAAATTGATTAAAGCCTATATAAATTCTGTTTTGATTTTTAAGTTAATTTCATTTATCTAAATAATTCTTTAAATTATTTTTTATGGATGGTTTTTATTATAAATTATAATATATCAATATTTTTAATTATTTTAAACTGGTTTTAAAGGCTAAGGAAAATGTAAAAAAGGGAAGAAAAGATAGACTTTCGTATAATTATTTAATTGTTTAATAGTGATTAATATTAATAGTGATTTAATAGTTAAAAGTTTAATTGAAATTTATAAAATAATATATATTTTATACATTTATACTAAAAATTAACATTTAAATGGAGACTAAAAATAATATTTAAACTCAAAAGCCCAGAAAAACCTCAACAGAAAATTTCTTCTAATTTTTCTACAAGCTCTACAATCTAAAATTATTAAAAATTCGATTTAAAATTTACACCAAGACCCCTTTAAGTTTAATTAAAAACCAAAAACCCTTAAAAAAAAAATCATTATATTCACTAAGCAAATAATAACCCATCTGGTGGAGAAACCTAAGAGGGAAGCCCTTGATGGCGAATAGGAAAACTTTTGGCGCAAGTTTGGCCCATTAAACTTTGTACTTGTTGAGGATATCGTGCTGGCAGTATTCCCTCTTCGGGGAAAAAGCCAAGTTAAGACAGTTTTCCCCGCAGTCTTACCCTACCCTACTCCCCCCTTCCAAGTGCATCTATTGTTGATTTTTCCGCCCCATCTGCCCCGGCCCCTGGTCTATAAGGAAAATTCCCACAAGGCGCAGGCGTCGAATCAGAAACTTGGACTCTCTCTGTATTTTTTCCAACTTTACCCAGCAAAAAATTAAACTAAAGTTGGCCTAATGATTTCCCTTTAAGAATTAAATATATATCTATTTCATTTTGAAATTTTCCAATATTTTTTCTAATTTTTTTTATAGAATTCTTAATTTAGAAAAAAAAAAGAAATCAAAAACAGTTTCTTGAGGTTTCATTTATTTTATTTATGATAAGTGCGTAAAGATATAGCTATAGGATATAGTCTATAAGTCGTCCAACAAGAGAGAGCCATAGAGAGAGAGTCAAGCCCCAAAGGAGAGAGAAGGAGAGAGCAAGAGAGAGAGAGTGCGTGGGAAAGTTGCCGGCGAAAGTGTGGAAAACAAAGCGTCGTGAAGGAAACTCGCTCAGTCGAGAATTAGACGCCAAAGCGTACGGTTATCAGCTCTCCGTCTCTTTCATACTCTGTCTTATACTGTCTCTTTTTCACACAGCTGTCACTGTCTCTGTCTCCAACACACACACACACACACACACTTGCTCCCCCGCCGACTCCGGTGGAAAAGTGTGAAAAGTTGTATACAACACAAGTATGTAAAAAAAAATTACAAAAAAAAAATATAAATAAAAACAAGAAACTGCATTGCTGGAGTTTTTCTTTATTTTTTATTTAAAAAATGCACTTATTTTTTTTGGAAAAAACTATTTTAAACCCAGACCGGAAAAACAAACAGAATGTCTAATGTGATCTAAAAATATGGAATCGGTTTTTCGGTTTTTTTTTCTTTCGATCTACACTCGCTTCCCATAAATCAAAAAATAAATCAAAAATCGGGTTTTCCTTTGATTTGCATTTTCCGAAAAAAGTGGGAAATTAAATCTAAAAATAAAATATATATAGATGTGATTTTTTTTGGCATATCAACAGGGGGATCTTAATTTATTATGATTTTTGAAAATAAATAAATAAAATAAATCTAAAGAAATAAAAGAACAAATGTCCTTCCTTAAAAATAAATCTTAAATAAACCTTAAATTCTTCTACAATAAATTAACATAATATTTATTTTTTATTATTTTTTCCAGACACCATGTTTCTGGCCGTAAACCAGAGCCTACAAAATGGCACCAAAAAGAAACGAAAACGCCGACCCCAGGCCTCTGGGCAACAGGACACCGACTCACCGGATAGCCTAGATGATCCTGCCACCGCCCCCCCCCTTCAAGCAATTCCGCCCCTTAATTCCAGCGCCTCCAGCGACCAGCTGGTGGTCAAAGCTGCATCCCCGGCCGAGTGTGAAGTGTGCCAGTGTCCGGGACGCAAGTCCTTGATGCTGATCTACATATACCTGGGCGCTCTCTCGCTCATCCTGGCCAGCCTGACCATCGTGTTCTACACACAGGATCAGTCGGGATCGGTGCCGATCGATAGTCCGGCCAGGACGAGGGAATTTCGGGCTCAGTTCCAGGCGGAGCTGATGCGATCGGAGGATGTCCTGCGAACAATGGTCGGCCGGCTGCTGGAAGCCGAGCAGGAGCAACAGCAGCAGGATCAGGCAAGGGCCGAGGCTCTCGAGAGCTCTGCCGCCAATCAGAGGTCCTTCGATCCTTTGAAGAACGAACGGAAGTTCACGGACAACCTGATCAGCCACACACCCAGGCCCATGGGAAAACGGATGCGGAGGGATGTTACCTCCTCCGAGCCGACTTCCTCCATGCATGGTGAGTTAGGAAGGGATTCTAGAGCTAGAGATTCTAACCTTCCCCGCTCCTTTTAGCTGATCCTGTCATAGAGTTCTTCAATCCCAACCACCGCAAGGTCCTCGAGGAACAGGACACGGAGATCCGGAAGAGAACCGGCCAGAAGGGCGCTGCTCCCGGCGGTGATGAATGGATCTATTTGAACACCTATTGCCGCGTCCCGGAGAAGATCATCACGGGCTTCTGCAAGGGCACCCAGGACTACTGTCCGCCGGCGCCTCAGGGTCCTGTGGGCGAGGCGGGTCCCAAAGGACCCACCGGTAATCCTGGCCTGCCGGGTATACCCGGTCCCAAGGGCAATCGCGGGGATGTGGGCCTGCCCGGAGCACCGGGTGTGGACGGAGTGGGTCACCAAGGACCAGCAGGACCTCGAGGCCAGAAGGGCGATGCTGGCGCCGTGGGACGGGCCGGCCTGGACGGTCGGGATGGAGTGCCTGGTGAGCCGGGACTCGACGGAGTGCCGGGACGAGCGGGAGCCGACGGCAAGAACGGTCTACCCGGAAGGGATGGCAAGGATGGACTGCACGGCAAGGATGGCAAGGACGGCATGTCCATAACAGGACCCAAGGGCGCCCAGGGTCCACCCGGAGAAAGGGGCTTAAAGGGTGAGTATCAGAAATACTTTAAAAAACTATTAAACCTATTATCCTTCTCCAACAGGCATTGCAGGACCTCGTGGTCGTCCTGGCAAGCCTGGTACTAACGGCACGCCTGGGGTTCCAGGAATCAATGCCTGGAAAATGCAATTCCCCAACGGCACCTCCTCCAACGATCTCCTCATTCCACCCTCGATAACAGGTGAGATTCTTGAGCTTAATTTAAAAATTTAAATATAAAATATAAATATTTTATAATTTATTTTTCATTTTTACTAAAGACCTGCATAACCCGGAATTCCATCGCACGATTATTGTGGAGGAAGGCCGCTCCTTGAACTTGAGTTGCTCTGCCACCGGAAATCCGGCTCCTCAAGTGGAGTGGCGCCGCGAAGATGGTCGGACCATTAATGTCAATGGCATGGAGAGTAAGTGTTTTGGGGGATTTGGGAATTATTTAGGAAAAAGGATAAACTAATACCCTTTTTTTAATTTTATTAAATATTTTAACTTGATTTTAAAGAGTTTTCAAAATAATTGAAGATTTTATATTGAAAGCTTCTTATAAGCCCTTTAATTACATGCTTTTAAAGCACTGTTTTATGTACATTTTCCAATGCTTGAAAGTGCTTTTAAAACCGGTTTTCAACACTGCTTTTGGAACTATTTTTTTAAACTTTGGAAACTTTTTTTTAAACCAAAATAAAAAGCAGTTTTCCAACCCTTTAAATTATCCTAAAAATATCTCTTTTATAAACCTCTTAAAAATTATTTGAAAAACCTCCCATTAACCCCATTTTAACCCTATTTTTTTGTACCTTCACCCAGTGGCATCTATTAGCGGGCAATACCTAAAGTTCACCAACATAACGAGACACCAAATGGCGGCCTACACCTGTTATGCCAACAATGGAATAGCTCCAGTTGCCAATGCCACCTTCATAGTGGAAGTTCATTGTGAGTTTTTAAATGTTAAGCTTCAAACTCATGAAAATCTATTATTATTAAATATTTCTTAACCCTTAGTTGCCCCCATGATATCGGTCTATAGACAAACTATCTATGCCGAGTACCAGAGCAGCGCCACTTTGGAATGCCAAGTGGAGGCCTTTCCGGAAGCGATTCGTTACTGGGAGAGGGCTTACGATGGCAAAATTCTAGATCCCAGTGACAAATATGGCATTGAATCATATCCAGATGGGTAAAAATAGGTTTTTTTTTAATTTTAAATATTTCTTAAATTTTTTGATTTATATTTTTTAGGAACTTTAAGACCTCTATGCGTTTAACTATCAGCAGTTTGCGGAAAGATGACTTTGGTTACTATCACTGTGTGGCCAGAAATGAACTAAATGCCACGATGGTTAACTTTGAGGTGGCACGTAAGTTTCAGGGCTTCAATTTTAATTATTTTTATATATTCTAAAGTTTTAAAAAATTTTAGCTCAAGATCCAAATAGTGAGACACCCTATGTGGGAAACAGCATCAAGGTTTATGGCCAAAGACCACCAGAAAGTGAATGTCCAGTTTGCGATCAATGTCCAGATCCTAGGTGGGCTTTCTAGTTTTAATTTTAAACATTTTCAATATTTTATATATATTTTTTTAAACATTTTTTAGTCTCTACCAATGCAAGGACTCTATATTGAATAATTTTGAAATACAAGCCACTGGTAATCTCAGTTATCCTGGCTTACCAAAAAGACAAAAAAGTATGTATTAAAAAATATATATTTTAAAATATACTTTTAATAATTTCTCTTCCAAAAAAGCCTGCTATTTATATGCTGTTGGAAAACCAGTTTTCCACAAAGTCGTTAATGAAAAATTCGGTTCCTGGCTGAGAGATCCTGCCCCGGAAAGTGATCGGGAGAAGACGTTCGTCACCAACGAAAACGATCCCTACAACCTATTTGAGTTCACAACTCGAATCCAATATCGTATGAACAGTGTGCCCAGAAGAAAATATGAAATACCCGAGGGTTTTTATGTGAGTTTATACTAATATTTAATATAAACTAAAATCTAATAACTAAAAATTTAAAAAAAAATAGGGCAATGCTCATGTGGTTTTCAATAATTCCTTCTACTATCATCAAAGAAATTCGGATTTGGTGGTCAAGCTGGACTTGACAAGCCTTAAAAAGATAAGTAAGTCTTAGATAGTATTTTAAAAATAAAATATTTTTACAAATAAATATTTAATTAAAGCCACACAATTACCATATGCCGGTGTGGCTGCTGCTAATAGACTTTATACCACGGACTACAACTACATGGACTTTAATGTGGATGAAGTGGGTCTCTGGGTGATCTATAGCACCTACAACTCCAATAATACTTTGGTGGCTAAAGTGAGTTCTTAACTATTAATTTTTTTTGTAAAAAAATATTAATTAAAAATCTTTTTAGTTGGATGCTGAGACCCTTAAAATGCAATACAATTTTAACATCACTTTGGATCATCATCAGTTTGGTGAAATGTTTATAGTTTGTGGTAACTTATATGCCATTGATTCGGGAACCGATAAGAATACACAGATCCGATATGTTGTGGACTTGTATAAGGGAAAACTACTAAATACAAATCTGCCCTTTTCAAATCCATTTAGCCACACCACAACAGTGGGCTATAATCCCTTGACAGTGGTAGGTTTTATTTAAAAACATGTCTTTAAAATATATTAAAAATATTTTCCTTTTTTTAGGAACTCTACTCTTGGGATAAAGGCAATGCTCTCACATATCCCATTCGCTATAACGAACAGCGTCTGATAACCGACAACAGTTAGGTTATATCTTTGTTTTCAAGATCTTTAAGATCCGAAACCAAGATCTGAGATATAAATCGCTCAAATCGCACTAGTCTAAGGCTTATTGAATAAATAAAAGAAACTGTTTTTTTTTCTAATAATAATCGTGACTCTTTCTCTAGAGACTTGTTTGATATTTACCCTTATATCATTGATTTAAAACACTTGTCTGGCAAGTTGCTAATGGGTTGGTAAAGCATCAAGGGAAAGTGTGCGAAAATATGGAGGTGTGAACTGTTAATTGGCGAAAAAAGGTGCCACAAAATATTTAGATCTTGAGAGGCAAATAGAGGTGTAAAAACTAACCAGATAGTTCCGGTTTTAATTACCAGATAAGGGAAGCTCTAGAATCTAGATCATAAATCTAAAAACCCCGACCTTGAGTATTAAAACCACACATATCACTGTTCCAGCTCATTAGCCAAGGTCGGAGTACTAATGTGGCAACCTGATCCCCTTTACCGGAATTCCCAGTTCCATTTAATGCATCCCACCATTCCCATACCCATTCCCAGACATCCTGTTCCAGGAGCACCTCTCCATTGTCAATTAGCTGCAATAATGTTGACATTATCCGGGGCCCCATGCCCTTAATTATGTTCTGCTTAAAAATGCCTGGAAAAGGCCACGAATTGCAGCAACAAGTCCTCCTACTTTTGGGAGGATTTCTGGGAGGTCCTGCCAGCCCAAGGACCAAGGATGCGAAATGTGTGTGCGGGGGTTTTTCGGGTTAATTTGCAACCAGGGCCACACAGCTGTCACTTTTCAGGAAAGCGAGGTATGGGGTATAAATGGGGGGGATTGGATGGATGGATGAATGGATGGAAGTGAAGCCTTGCAGATTGACGGACTGGCAGAGTGACGGCTTGTCAATATGTACAGAGAAAAAACGCAGAGGCCCCCTCCAAGCCCCCAAAAGCAGTGTGTTGTAGCAGGGAAAGCGTTTCGATGTTTGGCAGTTCGCTTGGAACACAACAGCCCATATTCGACACTTGAAGAAATTATTTATGGTATTTTTTAGATGTTAGAAACTCTAAGTTATAGTTTTAATAAAGTTTCTTGATTTTATAAAATATAGATTGAAAATAACTCAGTTTTTGTATAAAGATATTATCAAGAAACTAAAAGAGTCTAGTAGAAGTACCGGGTATCGGATAGCATATGGTTTTAAAATGATTTTTTGTTTTATTTGTCCGATAATTTATAAGACTTTAATTAAATTTAATCTAGTCTTAAAATATTAAACTATTATAATAATAGCTATAGCATAAGTACCGGATATTATATATATACTTATGTACTTATTACCTGTTTTTTTAAATACTTACTTATCTGATAAATTTTACAAAATGTACTATATGTACTAAATGGAAATATTGACAGAAAATAATAACCTAGTTTTAAAAGACTTAAGAAGTATTATATTATTAAAATAATTATTTTAAAAAGCTTGTAGTACTATTAATAAATAAAAAGACCTCTTTAAGAACATTTAACCCTCAATCATCTTCAAATTACAAATAAAAGATACATTATCTCACCCATTTAAAAATCTAATTTTAAAATCAAATAAACCTCTAAGCCCCCCAACTTTCCTCTCAGTGTTCTGCCGACCAGTTTTGTGTCGCAGAGTTCTCTGGGGAAAATTCTAGTTGCTGTGCGTGCCCCAACAAAGTCCCCAAGCTGGTTCGTCTCTCGTCAATTACGTTGCATGTTTGACAATTTGCATCTTTTTTTTTGTTCCCTCCATTCTTGGCCCATACTCTTCTTCCTGTTTCGATTTTTTCGTTTTTTTTTTTTCGGCCACCCCTTTTGGCCATTGTCTGAACAATTTGTAGCTGCATTTTCCCGATTTTCCAATTCCCCTAACGTGTGAAGCGATTCGGTTAACGGTACTCCTGTCACGAGTTGCGGTAACTTTGCGTGGGAGAATGCGAAAATGCCGAAAGAGAAGCTGAAATTGAAAAATTCCTAACGGTACTTGCGAGGAATTTCCCGAATATGTGATACCCGATACTTGAATCGTGCAGGAATCATTTTCCTTGAAGAGGAAATATTGGAGAAAATATGCTTAGTTTTTATAAAATAATAATAAAAATTAAATAAAATAAAATTTATAAATAAAATGTATAAAAAATGGTTTTCTTTAAATATATTATAAATATAATGGTGTAAAGCAAAGATTTTCTGATTGAAATGTATGATTATTATTACCTCTTATTATGTCTCTAATCCAAAACTAGATTCTTGAATTTCAACCTTAACCTTTACTCTTATTATAGTATCTTTATTTTATTTCTCTTCAAATATATAAATCACTAAAAGCAAACCCCTTTATTTAACTAATCCGGTAATCCTCTAAGCCTCTAATCCTCTATTCTATAACCACATTCTTGGCTCTAACGCACAACCTTAAATTTTTGATATTAATATTTTTCCTCACATATTAAAATAAAATATTATAATCCTCAAAACACCATCTAATCTTTAACCAGATCCTTGTCTCCGAACCCTAACCTTTACTCTCAAAAGCCCCTAATTGATTTCCATTTAACCTTTTCATTTAAGCCTCATTTTTCTATCACAATCAATTAGAGTCGCCAAATCTGGAATCTGGGCTCAATTAAAAGGCCATCTTCTGGCAGTGACCATAAATCACTTGACACCGTTGGTCGACCTTTGGTCCTGCCACACCGGATGGTGTCCTTCCTACTCCCCATGAATGTGTTTTGATTTATGCAGTTTTAAATATATTTCATTTCCGTACTGTTTTCCTTTTTTTTGGTTCTTGTATTTTTTTTTTTGGCCAAATGCCAACAAAATCGTTTGACTGGCCTAATCCTCAGATTTTATTTTCCTTTTTTTTTTTATTTTTATTTTATGTTGAGGCAGGCCCATCTGGTGCCGTTTGTAAGGATAATGCGCTCTTGTCAAATTGCCAACAATGGGGCATAGGGGCTGGGAACAGCTGTTGGAGGCTAAGCGCATTTGGCAGTTGCTTTCTATTCCGCCGGATTCCGCTCCGCCGGAGTCCGTGGACAAACAATTTTCATGCTCGAGCGGTGCCATGTCCGCACCACTCCCCACTTCGTACTCGGCAGGAGCTTTCACTTCCTTAAGCCCATGAGCCACTACACTGATAGAATTATTTAAGTTTTTATTTATTTTTATAATTTAGAAACGGTTTTTAAACTACTTATCTTTGATAGTGTGACCAGAAAAGCATGCAGACAACCCAAGTGTTACCCAATTTCAAAAAAGGATACAAGATAAATATTTGTTTAAGATAATTCCCCTAAAATCCCTCCTTATTTTTATTTAAAGCTCTTCTAAGACACTTTTCCAAGATGTGGAACACTCTTTAGTGTGACCAGAAAAGCATGCAGACAACCCAAGTGTGACCCAATTTCAAGAAAAGATACAAAATAAATGTTTGTTTAAGATATTTCCCCTAGAAACCCCCATTAATGTTTATTAAAACCTCTTCTAAGATACTCTTCCAAGAAAATGGAAAACTTTTAAATACAATTACCAATTTTCCTCAGTGCATTTTTCTCTTCGAATTGGCTTCCCTGTTTAGCAACAGTTTGCTTCATTAAATTGCAAACGAGCATCAAGTATCGAGTGACTGTCTCCAGAGGTGGGGGGGCTGGATATTCGTTATTTTTTTCCGAGGGGTAGAATGATTTTAGGAATCACTGAGAACCAGGATGGATGAGGGTGGGTGAGTCGGTAGGTGGTGGGGATTAAATATATAGACAGAGCTGAGATAAAGTAGGTTGTAGGTAGGAAGCCATAATATACTTTCCAGTGTTTACCTTTTAATCAAAATGCAAAATGTAATTTGAAATTTTAACATGAACAACGTGAGCAGGTCACTGGGCCATAAAGTCCTCACAATTTCATGGCCCAAAGCAAGTCAGTGATGTCGGGCTAAAAAAGCTAAAAAATCGGTTAAATTTGTAAAAAAAAGTTAAACATTTCAAACAAGAAAGGAAAGCTAACTTCGGGCGGAGCCGAAGTTTATATACCCTTGCAGCTAAAACCGGATATATATCGCAAACATCGGATATAGTTGGCCGATCCTTATGAAATTTGGTAGGATGGATCAAAATATAATCTGTACCAAGTTCCAGCTTTCTATCTTCAAAAACACAAAAGTTGGGTCATTTCCGATCGTTCAGTTATATGGCAGCTATAGGATATAGTCGGCCGATCCTAATGAAATTTGGTAGGTTGGATCAACTAACCAAAAATAGAGTCTGTACTAAATTCCAGCTTTCTATCTTCAAAAACACGAAAGTTGGGTCATTTCCGATCGTTGAGTTATATGGCAGCTATAGGATATAGTCGGCCGATCCTTATGAAATTTGGCATGTCGTATTATTTTGCCAAAAATAGCTCTCATGTCAAATTTGAACTCTCTAACTCTAAAAACACCAAAGTTATACCATTTCCGATCAATCAGTTATATGGCAGCTATAGGATATAGTCGGCCGATCCCGGCCGTTCCGACTTATATACTGCGTGCAAAGGAAAGAAGGGTGTGTGCAAAGTTTCAAGACGATAGCTTTAAAACTGAGAGACTAGTTTGCGTAGAAACAGACAGACGGACAGACGGACAGACGGACAGACGGACATGCTCATATCAACTCAGGAGGTGATCCTGATCAAGAATATATATACTTTATAGGGTCGGAGATGTCTCCTTCACTGCGTTGCACACTTTTGGACAAAATTATAATACCCTCTGCAAGGGTATAAAAAGACATTTTCTGGGATAACTTTGTGATATTACAATTTATTATTAGAAATTTAATAAAATTATAATTTTCAAAAAAGTTTATTTAAAATGATTAAAATTATAGTTCTCGATTATTTATCACGTGTTTTTAGAGATGGATTTCTAGCAGCGATATCGATTGACTTTATGGCAATAAATGGCCACCATTCTTTTGATGTATAGCCTCGTTCTCTCCACGGCTCTGGAAAGTGCAAGTCCATTTATCACCGTTTCTATCACATTTATACATGATTGTACGGAAACGAGCATTTCTCGTAAGTTTACATTGATCTGGCTTGCCTTCGATCTTGATTTCCTCGA